GTGGGATCCGAACCGGGGCCATCTGGCATCCCAAGCCAGCTCTTAACCAACGCACCACTCAGCCGGCCCAAAAGTCTAATTCTTAATTAGCCACAGTTTTAGACTAACTAGCACACCCATTGCTCTGATATTTATGAAACAAGTTTTAATCAGATATCTATTATCAGTTTAAATAGATATGCCCAATTTCAAATATCTAATCATCTTTACCTAAACACCGAGTATCTTTATGGGAGGCAATAGAAGCATTTTAACTTGTAAGTTTTGAATTTTTGTTCTGATTCAGACTCTGCTGCTAACTAGCGGTGACCTTTGGCAAGCCACTTTAACCACACTGGATCTTGTGTTCTTAGAGATTAAACTGTGCAACTGGATTAAATAAATGCTCTCCAAGTCCCAGAACTGGGCCCAGCTCGAAGACTCTGATTAGGTATGAACCAGTTAACGGTACTCCCTCTTGTCAACACTAGAGGGAGCTACATTCATGTCATCACTGGGGTGGTTAGGGAAACTGCAAGGCAAAGCATCTTTAAATAGAAAACTGACTTTACAGAACGAGGGAAATTAAGTATCAAGTGAGAGATCCATATTGCTCCGACAGCCACACCCCACAGGCTCTCTCACCTCCCTCTTATAGACATCAAAGAATCTCACACTTGACTTGCATCAACACGTCTTAGGGCTTTAATTCTAATTCCAAAAGAACCAAGTTGGTTTGAGTCACTCCTACAGATTTCTTTCCCCATTCAGTCTATTTTCTTTCTTAATCAAATTAACAACAAAAGCAAAGTAATTGAAGATACTATTAGAAAATCCCCAAGGAAATGAGATGGAAGAGAAAGATTCATATCATACTGAAGCTGTGGCCTGGAAAAATCTGTCAAGTTAACTGCAACTGAATTCATTTGCAGCCTGTCACTCAAACTCAAAGCTACCACAGCTACTCTGAAAACAAGAAAACTATTCAAAAAGAGGAAAGGTATGGGGCAGCCAATAAGGGGCTCAGGTGGTTGGGGTGCAGGCTCTTAACACCAAGGTTGCCAGTTCGATTCCCACATGAGCCAGTGAGCTGTGCCCTCCACAACTAGATTGAAAACAATGACTTGACTTGGAGCTGATGGGCTCTGGAAAAACACACTGTTCCTCAAAAAATTAAAAAAAAAAAAAAAGAGGAAAGATATAAGGAAAAGAAGGAATCAGGAAAAGAAGGAATCAGTATAGCTCTGCGATGTATTGTACAAACTGGAACATCTGCCTAAATAAATGCTGTCATTGTTCTGCTGGGCTCTGCAGTAAGAAGCTTGCAGCTACTGAAGAGTGATGTCAGTAAGTCGAGGCAATAGGATCACTTTAGGCATTTGGCAAGAAAACTGTCAAGTAACCAGATAAGGGAATGGAGGGTGGGGGAGAGAAGGGAAAGAAAAGCATCTCCAAAGTTAAGCTTATTCTGAAGTTATATGCATACTCTCTCTCTCTCTCTCTCCCAGCTCCAAAAACACTCCTGGCTGTGCAAATGTATGACCAAACCATTATGGAACAAGTGAAATGAAAAATCAAAAACCTCTCCATTGGTATCAACTTAGTTTCTCTTGGCCCAGAAACACAATGGCATGTTAACCTGACAGAGGGGGCATACATTGTGGATATTACAGAGTGTGGTCTGTGGGAGAAAGATAAATGCAGTCCTGAAGAACCCCTTTTATTTAAATTCCATAGATTAATTTAACACTGAGAAAGCAAAGCCTCAACCGTCAGAACTGGACTAGCTACTTTTTAGGACATGGGCTGTTCCTGAGTAAAAATAGATTATAAAGCACCTTTGGAAAGTCCCTTTAAAGTTGGGAGAAGAGAAAATCTACTAGAACAAGACAGTTATTTTTTTCACTTGAAAAAACGCAAACTCAGACCTCCAGAGGTAAAAAACAGAGTAAAACTCACAAGGTTAAAATCAACGTATTCCTATGGATCCAAGTAGTTGGATGCTTGTTTCTTAAATCATCAATTTCACATGCTCTACAGATACTACAGCCTTAACAGAGTCAAAAGATTTCTCTTTTCTTTTAGGATATTAAAAAAAAAAGTTCAGCAACCCTTTCAGTCAATGAGCCTCATGGGAAACATGAGAAAAATGTATTTTACCGTTAAAAGGAGAACAACTTGTTTTCCTTGCTTTTTTTAGGACACATGCCAATGTATTTCCAATTCACTCTGTTTCATACTGACCTTTAAAATGTTTCTGCCATCAAATGACTCTCTTTCCTTGAAGATATATTTTCCATCTGCTGTGTAGAGATTGTACCTGCCTTCAGCTGTAAACATCGCAAATATAATGTTAGAAGAGAAGTGTGGATTATTCATCTGTTTGTTTTCTCTTGGATTTCTATAGGTACAACTAGCAAAATCTCCATGTACTACCATGGCATATAGAGAGAGGAAAACATCAGGCTATGAGTTAAGAGACCCAGTTTCTAGTCTCAGCTCTGTCATCAACTCATTCAATATATGTTTGTTCATTCAACATTGTCCAAGAACTCACTGTACATAAACTATACAACTAGCTATATTCTTAGGCAAATTATCTCCTCTGTAGACCTCCGTCCCTCATGTACAAAGTCAGAGGTTAAGACTAGGTGATCTTAAACACCCAAGACTTTGTAAAAGCTATATGTATTTTTAAAATATGTAAAAATGCACAAAAGTTCACACATTAACTAGTAAAAAATGCTGGCAATCATGCTTTGGGTTGATTTAAGAACTCCCCCCAAATGAGAAAGATCCCTTTAGTTGCAATCAAAGATATCCTTACAGACATTCTACACATAAATGCAACAAATCTATGACCTTAGTCTCGTCAAAGCTCTAACTCCTTGAGTTAATTTAGCTTGCTTATCTCAAAAGGTGTCCCTAGAGTATAGCAAGAAAAGGATATCAAAGGATAATAGGAAAGAAAACATGAAACACTGTATTCTATGTTCCTTTCAAGTACAAATTTAACACAGAGAAGAATCCAGGGTATAGAAAATTCAAAGCATCCTCAAGAATTATTTAACTGCCAGAGTATTTTCCAAAATATCAACCTTTTCCTGCCCACCACCAGACTTTCAAAAACATTTGTATTTCCACTTTTGAGTATGGTCCTTTACTGTATATAGGTATGGAGACTACCAAGTCAGAATTGATCAATATATCCAGAGTGATCACTCAAGGAACATAATATATTTTAGCTAACCCATTGGAATTACACATGGGTAACTATGGGACCATTTCTCTAATGGGAAGTAGTCTCTTAATCAAAGATCCCAATTCCATAGATATTTCACAGCTTAAAAATGGGTCCTCTGTTAAGAGGCGATATGAAATTTAAAGTAAACTATACTGGGCCGGCCAAGTGGCGCGATGGTTAAGAACTGGCTTGGGACGCCAGAAGGCCCCGGTTCGGATCCCACAAATGAGGGCCAGTGACACTGCCCTCTACAGCTAAGATGCTGAACAACAGCTCAACCTGGAGCTGGGCTGCTGTGAGTCACCGGCGACGGCATAGGCTGCAGTCCCTGTGGCAGTGGGTTGCCACGGGCTACCGTATGTAGCCAGCAGCCGGCGTGAGTGGCCAGCAGCCGCTGTGAGTGGCCGTCCAGAAGCTGGCGACTGATGTGCCTCGCCCGGGAAGAGCGCAATGATTGTGCCAACTTGGGCCAGTGAAGCAACGTCCTCCACAACTAGACTGAAGAANTACCTGTTGGCAGCTCAGCGGCTGCTCAGCTCGGGCTGGACTCGAACCGCTGTTGCTCAGAGCTCAAACTCTTGAGCGAGCTCTTAACCAACTGAGGAGAATGATTCTTTAGTTTTCAATTCTTCTTTCTTTTTTTTCAGCTCTTCTTTCAAAGTGCTTCTTAGAGTAAGAAAAGTCTTATTTTAACTGGGACTAGACAGATAGTAGTCTATTACACCTGCAACCATTCTCAAAAGTGATTTACCAAAAAAAATGTAGCTTTCACCTCCAAAAGTCATTAGAGCTTTCTTTTTTCCTATTAAGGCACCCAGAACACATACTATTACACCGAGCCAAAAGGACTAATTCTCTTCATGGAGGAGAATAGCAATTGGCTGTTACTCATTAAATTCTTACAACAATGAGCAATGACTTGCTTTCTCATTTTGTTTCTCTGAATAGATGAAGTTGATTCTTTTCCAAGGCTATTTCCCATCACCAGCATTCCTGACCCTTGACCTATGTAGCTGTTATTATGCTGCACACATATCTTTAACAACCTTAGCAGCCAATGCAGTTAACCTTTCTGTTTATTCCAAGTCAGTTCTTATCTTGTTAGTTAAATTGATTTTCTTTTTTTTTGCTTTCTAAACATAATTTTGTCTGGTACAAAAACTATATATATAATCCATTGATTTTTCTGAATCTTTTTTTTTTTTCAAGCATTTCAGAGGCCATGAGTCCTCATGTTCTATTTGAGAAAGACATGTCCATTTGTGGTAATTCCATAAGGTGGGCTGGTGGAACTACTTCACAAATACAGTTATCACCTCTTAGGTGTGTGGGGGTAATTGCTGGAGGCCATATATCACATATTCTCAAAGAAAAATTAATTCCTTTGATTGAACACAAGTGAAAGATTGTATTTTCTGGAGCCTAATGATTATAAAGTAAAATACTGGAAACTATACCAAAAGGTGCTTTGTTATAACTATCTGTATTCAAAGGTACTTCTCTATACTCAAAACTTGCCCCCATCATTTTGTATTGTAATTGTCTATTAACCGTCTGTACCCCTCAAAGACAGGAAGCTCCTGGAAAGTAGGGACTGTATCATAATGACTGTTTTGTCTGCAGGACACATTAGGTATGGCAGATGGTATACAATAATTATTTCTGTTGGTGTTAGTATTAAAATCAGCTCAAAAGTCTAATTCTTTTTTTTTTTTTTTGGATTTTATTGGGGAATTGGGTGAGGGGAACAGACAAGTTGCTGTTGTTTTTGTTCTTCAGTCTAGTTGTGGAGGATGTTGCTTCACTGGCCCAAGCTGGCACCATCATTGCGCTCTTCCCGGGTGAGGCAGATCAGTCG